AAAAGCCGTGTCAGTAGAGCTGGTCCCACCAGAAGAACGGGGTGCGGGCTCTCTGTCCTGCTGCTCTGGGGAGGGCCCAGGAATCTGAAGCCAGGGAGAGGTGAGAGAGGAGAGATAAAGGCGATGGTGACCAAGCACTCATTCCCATGAAACCGTCCCTTCACCCAAATGCAGCGCAAATATGTGCTCCCCAGTGAAGTGAGCCACAAGCCAATGGAAAGTCACTTGTACCTGACAGTGGGAATCACCGTTCTTTGCATTCCACAGTTCAGCAACTCACTCTTGGAAGAGTTCTGGCTCCATCCATTTTTTTTTTTTTCCTCTCTCTCAAATGTACAGCGTGACTTTGATGCTTAACAACCCAGCTGACTGAAATATGTTTTGGGGTGTAAGAGTTCAGAAAGACATCAAATTACAGAAATCTGTGCAGGAGTGAGGACGAGTCGCCCTACACCAGCACATTAGGAATTACTCAACCACTTCAGTGAGAGGCTAAACTCATCAGTGCCATGCGAGACGGAGAACACCACCCCACCCACAGCAAACTCAGGACTTTTCCAAGTCTAGTTACCAATTAGACTTGGCTTCTCATTTTGCAAAAGACTCAGGAACTTAGTCGTCTGTGACATTTCTGGTCACTGCTCGATGGTATGTAAAATTTAGGCTGACTGGGTTGAAGGAGGGTTATTATAATGAGAATGTGAAGCTTGGAGAGAAGTTTTCAAGGAAATTGTGCACTGTTGTCAGATCCAAAAACAGAACAAAGAAGTGATGTTCATTCACCCAAAGTAACTAAGATATGGTCTCTGCCAGCAAAAAGGAGTGCTCATTATTTCAGACTGGGGTTTTTGGTGGGGGAAGGTTGTCAATGATGGGAAGGGGGAAGACAGAGATCAAATGAAGAGAGAAACTAGAAAAACTATTTACATTAAGAAAAGAATGTCTCTCTCATAGGACTTATTACATCTAACATCAAATTAAATTAAAAAGCAATAATCTCTCATGGGCTTCTTTTGAAGAAAGATACATCTGAAATGATACTGTGTTTCCCCATCGGTGATGTTATGAGTCTTCATTGGAGAAAGAATTCATACCACAACACATCATGTCAGCCTGTGCGGAGAAGCGACTATTTCTTTAGTCTTTAATAAGTCTTCATTTTCATAATCAAATAAGGAAATGTGATCCACTGATTCTTTTCTCGGTCTGTGGCTCCCTGCCTTTTGCCCAGCAGAGTCAATGTTTTCTCCCCCACCTGTGTGTGTGTGTGTGTGTGTGTGTGTGTGTGTTTCCTGGTCCTGAGGCGAAGAGATACAATGAAGCCACTGACTTAGCCAGTGTGTTTAATTATTTCACTGTCTCTCAATGGCCTCCCAGGCAGACACAAAGCCATCCACCTTTGCTGGTTCTCTCTAGCTCCTGCCAGGGTGCACTCTCCAGCGTGCACCCTGCTTCCGTGTGAAGACTCCTGGGGAAGATGCCAATAATCTCTATTTAATGTCCTAATTGCCCAACCACGTCTCCCTTTGATGCCTTGAAGTTTAAAGGACAGCGTATTTCACTGAAATGCACCTTAGAAAAATTCCAAGGCAGGGGGAAAAAACCTCTGGCAGCCCTGTACGTAGAGCTGAAAACTTTCACAAGTCAGCAGCATTTCACAAAACTAAGAGTCCACCCGCATGGCAGGCTACACGAGAAATAAAATCTGCAGAAATCATTACTTCCCTTGCTTCCATTGCCAAGCACCTGCGGGACTAAAAAAGAATGACCCCCAGATCTCTTCTGAGAAAGTACAAGCCTTTCCAGCAGATGCATTAAGTGAGATTAAAAAAAGACCGTATGGCTGAAGGGGGAGAAAACGTCGGGATCATTAAAAATGCATTTTCCAAATAATCAATGTCCCCAATTTAAAAACTTTTCTTTAGAGTCAATAAAGACTTCGACCCCGTGACCGGGGTTATCAAGACTTTCCTTTAAGCAAAACAAGTTCCTAAGTATGTACTACCCGTGTATAAAACCCTAGCAAGTGCACTAATTTGGAAATTCAGGCGCAGCCTCCCCTACTGACTGGGAGCCTGCCTCTTAACTTCTCATCACCAGTCTCTGTCTTTGCCTAAAATTGCCAGAGATGGGCTATCCCAGCCCAGCACATCTCATACCCTACTCCAATCCCGGCTGCCCCTTACAAATTCATTTCTATAGCTCCTCTGCCATCACCAACCTCCCCCCAATTTATTGTTTCAATACTCCCTCAATGAACTCTAAGTACTCACTAACATCTTTTTGCTTTATTCTAACTTTGTCCCTTTAGATACTGTATTAACTCAGACAGTGGGTGGCAGGTTGATACTTGGAAATTTTCACTGCCATGATATTTGTCAGGATGTTTGACTTGTAATCCCAATTTAAGAAAACATAATTATTTATTTATGCCCTGCTTCATTTCAGAAGAAAAAAAAAAATGTAAGGCTCCTGGCACAAACACACACAGTGAAGTAGCACTTGCATTATGGAAATAGGAAAATGGGACAAAGGAGAAATGAAGGGAGGAAAGTTCGGATGAAATTAGGAGAGAAGCCAGAATTTAAAGCCCAGCTTGTCAGCTCATCATATACACGGCTGGATCCGATTCTAAGTTTTTGAGCTCCTTAGAAGCCAGTGGAAAGACAGAGACTCACTTGTATCAGTGCTGAAACATTATGGTTCGCTGGTCAAACCTGGCCCACCTTCTGTTTCAGTTAAGTAAAGTTTTATTGGCACACAGCCACACCTATTCATTTACATATCATTTATGGTCACTTTCCACCCTATGGTGGCAGAGTCAAGCAGCTGCTGCAGAGACCTGCAAAACCTAAACTGCTTACTCTCTGGCCCTTTCCAGAAATAAGTTCACAGATGACCAGGTTACGGGACTCTGTGCACACAAGATCAAAGCAAAGCAGTTTCCTAGGAGAAAGACACTCTTCAACAGAGAACGTTCTAGCCTAAAGCTCTCACTATGCAATCTCGTGAAAACGCATCCTCAGCTTCTTTTCTCACAGTACCACAGCGATGGGTTTCACAGGGCTGAGGGCATGATGTCACAACGGATGTCAGTGAAACAGTTCTATGTAAGGCGGCAACAAAGCAGGTCAGGAGTAATTCTCTCCAGCTCTGGCTTAAATCAGGGAGAGTTGTGGGGATGGGGGCCAGCCTCGTGCAGCCCTTCCCACCCTCCTTCCTTATCGCCGGCAGACATGGCCAAGGGCTCTGGGTGCCCTCCCGCAGGGAGTCCTGAAGTGTCCTCCAAAGTGTTCTCCATGTTTTCTGGAAGCCTCAGCCAACCACTAGTGGTTGACATGCAAGACAGAACTGGGATGCCATCTTGGCTTCAAGGCAGCTTTCTATCAACACTCTGCCTCTGCATCTGAGATGCGCTGGGCTGGTGACATGGAGATAATGCTCCCTGCCCCATGCCTGAGCGGAGTTCCTCTATTCTGTCCACACGCAGAGCCATCTCCATTAATGGCATACACGAGGATGCGCTGGCCTGACATTGTCCTGTGGGAAGCAGGAGCCCCTCTCAAGGATGCTGCCTGAGGAGAGAACCCATCACACCTGCACATGTGTGGGGCAGGCGAGGGTCTGAGAACACAGCCAGGCCTCTCCTCCGGAAAAGAGCACAGAACCTCCTCCTCCTCCACACACGTGGACCGTGTGCACGGACCATGGGTGGGGGAAGGTGAGGCCAAACATGGGCACTGGCATTTTGTCTGGGAACATTCAAGCCTGATGCCCATGTGGTTGGTTCAAAGAAACAAAACCTCCAAACAGCCATCACCCAGACCCACTGACCTTGAACACATATATTCCTAAAGAACACCTCCCTGCTGGAAACAAGGATTCCAAAATAAATACAAATAAACTGGAAACAGTGATTTCCAAGAAAGGACAATTCAGTTCGGTGTTGGAAGAGGAGGACAGAACCGCCAACTGTAGATTGGGAAGAACACATCTGTCACCTTTCTCTATGCTCATTCCTCCTTTGTGACTAATAAAACGATGTTACAAATTTATTCTACTTCTTTTCTCTACAACCAGGAACAAGCATTCAGGTTACCTGAAAAGTATTACTGAGTCTATAATATGCAAATCTAGGAGAATCAGAACTACTGGGCATTGTCTACATGGGACTCCTACCCATGTTGTCAAAAGTCAAGAAGCAGGCGAAATATATTAAAAATCACTTTACGGTATTCCTAACATCTTCCCACAAGGTAACTGAAAAGTAAAACCAGAAAATAAGTAAAACATCAAGACCTACAACCTTCATCCTCCCCATGAGTTTGTGACTGTTTTAGCAAACACCAGCTACAAAGAAATGAGATATAACCATGCCTGACAAAGGAATTAATATTAGCCAAGAAATGTGTTAGATCAGTGGAGGACATTTTTCTTCACCCTAAAGAGAGCAAATACTAACAAATGCTGAGATTTGCCCATCCAGTACCAATGATGAGGGCTCAAGTCCAGACCATGTAAGGCTACAGGTGGACATGGGAGACTGTTGGGAACATTGGGCTCTACATAAACTTAGAGGAAAAAAAAATGAGAACGACTCCTTAAAGCACCCATGAGAATGCTGAGCCCAGACCCAACAGTAGCGGTACTTGGTATGTTCTGGAACCAACTGCAGAATGTCCGATTATACACTGGATTTGGAAGCGCCCAGAATGTGAACCCAGAAAATTCTGGAGGGAAGCAAAAGCCCCTCCATATCAGCTATGGGCGGACCCCCACGTCTCCAGGCAATTATGTGAACCCTCCATGTCCTTCAGTGAGCCCTGAGCCCGAGCTGAAAACCAGAACAGAGTGTTGGGTGACACTGCTGAGGACCACTGAAGGAACTGCTGAGACCACTGAAGTTTGTGCTTCCAAAAGACTGCGCTCCCAAACCACCAGCACGCAGAGCAATACTGCCAACGAACTTCTTCAAGACAGTTGTGAAGGCTCCTACTTACGTAATGCATACAAGGTAAGAATTATTCCAGCCAGGCAGAATCCTTCAAAGAACCTGAGGGTGCTGAACATTGTCACATTCACGGACAGTGCCACGGTTAGTCCAAAGATCAGAATGAAGATGATGGAAAACAGCAGCACAGGCCGCCGGCCGACCCTGCGTACGGAGAGGGGAGAAAACGAGGAAGCATCATTAGACAGGGCTGCAGTGCTTGACGCTGACCCCAGTATCCAGCCAGCGATCAACAGATGTGGAATGAGTCCTAGATTAAAAGGCTCTGTGGCATCCAGACCCAATCTGGTGGATCTAGGGTGGAGAGGCCCTCTGGGTCAATTCAGCCTAAAACCTTGCTTTGTACAAAAGGGGGCAGCTACCGAATGGAATTGAGAAAGGGACCCAATTCCTCTTTGTAAGTCTGTTTCTGAGGGTAAAGAGGGATGATCCAAGGCAAGAGTAACAAAATCAATAATAACTCCCTGAACACAAACCTTGACACACCCAGCACAAACGTCTTGAGAAATCGCTGACCTTTGGACTTGGCTCCAGAGTCAACACAAACACTGAGCCAAGGCACTTCATTTCCTTTCTCTGGGCTGTTAACTAGTCCTACCTGACCTCCCAGGGAGGCTATCCGAGTCCAGGACCCCACAGCTGCTGACCTGTTTCAGCTACAAGATGAGAAATACTTTTAAAGGGATCACAGACTAAACTAAGAGTCTGAACTTTAACTAAGGAGTGTTGACCTGGAAGTGAAGCCCACCAGGCAGCAAGGGGCTTGGAAAGAACCCGACCAACTATGTTTCAGGAAAGGGCAGCGATCATGCAAGGTTGGCGGGTTACAGAGCGCGCTGGTGCGAGATCAGCGACCACTAGGGGGCGATGTGCTTCTAGGTGTGGCTGGCAGGGCAGAGGGGGTGGTCCCAGAGAATGAGGGGTCACTAGTTGTCCATCCTTCCTAAAGTATCTTTCCACCTTTTCCTTCATCAACTCATGGCGGGGTGGGGGGGAAACTCTCCACCACACAAATTACTATAATAAATCTAGCTTGAACTGGAAGGATAGCTCACAGAAAAACTGGAGTATCTGCCAAGGGGGAAAAAAATCTACATCTGGCACCCCAAACACCTACAGAGTAGCCGTATGGCTTAAACTCGCCTACACATTCTTGTGACAGTCTCACGACAAATAAAAACATAAAGATAGATTCGTGGCCCAGGGCTTGGGATAAGAATGGGGAATGACTGGAAGTGAACACAAGATTTCCCTTCAAGGTGATGGAAATGTTTTACATTTAGAGTGTGGTGATGGTTCCATAGCTCTGTCTACATACTAAAATTCCCTGAATTACACCTTAAGATGGGTGAGCTTTATGGTATGTAAGTTATCTCTCACTAAAGCTGTTAAGAAAGAAGCAAATACTTAGTTACGCATGTCCTGTGAAAGAAACAGATGTAATTTGGAGAAAATTTGGGGGAGGGAACTACAGAGCACAATTTCACTCATTATTTCTTAGGCTTCTAACCAATCTTGTCAGTCACACGGGTTTAGTGAGAGGAGGCCAGGGCTACGAACTCAATGCTGATGTGAGTCAACCCTCTTTTCAGAGTTTTTAGGCATTACTTCTCTTGACTGGTGCTGGGATCCTTAAGCCCTTGTCACAGAAGGTAGTTTTATGCAAACCCAATTCACTTAAAGAAATAAATTTGGAATATGGCTTAGCTGGTCTCTTAAAAACAAAGCTGAGATCTAACTTCTCCATTGTTATTTCCCCTTTCTTGTCTGTAAAATGGGGATCACTGTCTGACTTCACAGTGTTACTGAGATCATTAAGAGAGGTGATGGATATAGGTACAACGCATTCCACAGAGCAAATAGTTAAAGGTTTAGCTCATATGATTCCTCCCTACACGTCTATAGCCTGGATGCCCACCAAACATGGTTTGCCCTTTTCCGATACTTTAGAAAAAACCGTTTTTTTTTTTTTTTTTTTTTTTTTTTTTTAACTTGTAGAAACTGCTCTAAATCTCTCCCTCCCAAATGGTTCCTAACATCAGTAAATAATACAAATTATTTTTAGGAACTAGGGGGCAAACGTCAGGTATGGAGATGTGCAGGTGATGTAGTGAGCACTCAACAAATGTTATGATCATTGGAGTTTTAGCGTGAACTGGCTTCCTTCAGAGCAGAGTCCCCTCAGAGATGACAGACAAAACCACACTCCGAAATCCATGAATGCCGAGGTGGGAGTTAAAGTGGGCCGGGTAGTGGCTCTTATGGCTGTCCATGTCCTACTCCTCAGAGCCTGTGCATATGTTACCCTGCATGGGAGAAATGGGCTCTGCAGCTGCAAAGAAGGTTAAAAACCCTGGGATTAGGTGACGATTCCGGTGGATCCAATCTAAGTACGTGGAAATCCTCTTCCGGCCGCAGGGAACAGAGAGATGGTGACATGAGCAGCAGCTGTCACTGCAGGCTCTGTGGCTAGCTAGGAAAGGGGCCGTGAGCCAAGGAGTGTGGGCAGTCACTGGAAGCTGGAAAAAGTGAGGAAGAGGATTCCTTCCTGGAGCCTCCAGAAATTCAACCCTGCCGGCACCTTGATTTTAGCCTCGTGTGAACTACAGAACCGTAAGTGAATAAATGCAGGCCACCGTGTGTGTGCGAACTCATCACAGTAGCCATAGGGAAATAATAGAGGGTCTCGACAGGAAGGGGATACCCCACTTAAAAAGAGTGATCTGAGGAAATTTCAGTAAAGGGATTAGTTGCAAAAGGCTGGGCAAGCTGTGAGAGAAACCTTGGGGCTGGCAACGGAAACAGGGACGATGGTCTTGGAACTCAGAAAGAGAGGCGTGGTGTGGAGGGGCCGTGAGCAGGAGGCAACCAGCCCCTGGCAGCATTGCAAAGACCCAGCTGGAGACAAAAACGGCCTCCCCACTCTCATCTCTCTCTCTCAGACCTCCAGCTGGTGTTCGCTGCCCATGGCCAGTCTCAGCCAGGAGCTAGAGGGCAAGGGGTCTCCTCTGGCACAGCCTCGAAAGGCCAGGGCCTGGGGCCAGCTGGACAGGGTGCAGAGGGCTCCTGGACGGAGAGGCATGCAACATCCCATAACAGAACCAGTACTGGAGGGAAGGGAGCTCACTCAGCAGGGGCATGGGCGGGGCTGCTCCCTCCCAAACATCTAAGCTAACACGCTATAGGACAGCACAGGACGTATATCCCCAAGCAAGATGTGGGTGAGACACTGAAACTTTTTAAAGAAAAAAGTGTCCCAGGGCCCCTGGCTGGTTCAGCCTATAGAGCATGTGACTGTCGATCTCAGGGTCATGAGTTTGAGCCCCACATTGGGTGCAGAGATTAATTTTTAAAAAAATTATATAAAATAAAAACGTGTCTTACAGGAGTTTCACTATGTGCTGACTTCAGTCTTAGAAACTTAACCTCCGACCTCATCAACTTCCCCATGCCACCATGACACGGGTGCTAATAGCTGTGAGGTCTGGAGTTCCCTCTAAATGTGCTTATTTCCCTTTCGGCATGGCCCTAGCAAGGAGTCAACAGTCAAAAATAAATGAATAAATAAAGGGTGGAAAACACCAAACTTTCAAACTGGAACTAAAGTCCACTCTAGATGTTCCAGCACCGCAGCACACAGCAGGCGGCCCTGCCTCTCTGGGGACCCCCTGCCCACTCACCATGGACCATAGAGGCAACAGCAGCCTCTGGGGACCTAAAGAGAAGACTGCCAACCCCCTCTCCCTTTTGTCCCTGGGCCCGGTGTGTGATCAGGGGTGCCACACAGCAGCTATGCGCAAGAAGTAAGAATTCTCCGGCAAGCCCCTTGGGTCCCCTCCTTCCTTGGGAGCTTTGCTGTCGCTAAAGAAACCTGGCTTAGCTGCCCACCAAAAAAAATTAAATTAGGAAAAAAAAGAAATCACAAAACCAAATTCTGAACAGTTTAAGCCATTATAGATGGATCCATTCATGGAAGTCTGTAGTAACTTTCCCGATGGTGTCACTGAATAAGGACACCCAAGCCTTGGCCAAGTCTGCATCTTTTAGAAAGAAGTGGCATAGATTACATTAGTATCTCTTCCAAACTTATTTCAGTGCAGAATACTGGGAAACAAAAGTCCTCGTGGTTAAAATACTGGAATTAGAGTACGTTTCAGATTAGTATAGGTTGCTCTGAAAACCTGTAAGCTCAAGGATTTGGTTAAAAAAAATAAACTCCTACACTCCCCCGACGTCTCCCCACTGCCGATCTTGCCCCCCCAAAAAAAGAAAAAGAAAAAGAAAAAAAAGTCCCTCCAGGGGGCCCTGGTATAGGTTTTCAGAGGTCACTGACAACTTCTCTGTTGCTGCTCCCAGGGAATGTGTCCTTAAGAAGCATTTACAAATGATGATTAAGCAAATTCTGAACACACAGGAAATCACTTACTTGTAAATGCAAATCAACTCCCAAATAGATGTTTGCTTTTGGGAAGAAACATCCAGAATCTGAGAGTGGTTTCAGAACCTCTGTGCGCCCCATGACCCCCATCCAGGCTCTTGCCAGAGTGCCTCAACCCACTCTGTCAACTAACCAGGGAACAGGGGTAATTGCTGAGCAAAGACACAGATGTAAGGGGTTTGCTCCGAATCACTCTTGGCCCTTGTGAAGTCACTGGGTCCAAGGTGTCCTTAGTCACAGAAAGTTCCTTTAAAGATAAAGAACGTCAAGGTGGGGGAGAGGGGCCGGCTACCCCACACCTTTCTCCTGGAGCAGCCCTGTTACTAGAAACTCCCATGAACACTGGGCGCTGGCCTCCCTGCTCAGACGTGTGCTCACTGAAACCCTCGTGAACACAGGGGGCTGTTGCACACTCGTGAAGAGTGTGACACACTCAGGAGCCACTGGGGTTTGGTTCAAATCTGGACTCTCCAACTTGAAATCTGAGTGAATTTGGGGATTTTTAGTTAGACTTCTGTGCTTCTGTTTTTCCACTGTAAACATACTAAATAGTACCTACTTACCAGGGGTGCTGTGAGGATGGGATATTTTAATGCGTGGAAATGTTTAGCACGGTGCCTGGCAACAATAATCAATCGGGAAGTGGTAGCTGCTAATACTGTTGCCATCGTCATCGTTACTGTTACTGTAACTCTCTTCACAACCCTTCTCTGTATTCCTAACCTTATCACTTTGTCATGAACCACACGCTTCGCTCCAGGCATGAAGAACTCCCTACCCACCCAAGTAAAGCATATTCATTCTCACCTCTGGCCACCACCCTCCCTCTGCCTGCAGTGCCCATCTGTTATCCAAATGCTGTCCACTTGCCAAGGCTCCCCAGGCGCCCTGCAGAAGCGTCTCCTGGCCAAGCCAACTGTAGAACTGTGCCTGTCTGCAATCTGGGTGGTGTTTCGAGATGCCCATCGGCACCGCCCTAACCATTTGGATCATGTGGGTAGAGTCTCTAGCTCATCCCCTCCCCATTTTTTTTGATGCATCTTGTATATCTACTTCTACAGAGCCTTGAACATATGCCCTCAAGCTCTTCCCGACTAAACAATAAACATCAGGAGCAGATGGGGCTGTGGGTTGCATGCAGGTGTTGCTAGATTCTCGCGGCTGGAAAATTACAATGAATTTAAATTCTCCTTGGAAAGGGGTGGTTATATGCACTGGCCAAGGCTCTTAGTTCTGAGTTCTTCAGGTGACGGCTTCCGCCCTCTGTGGCAGCACCAACACTAGGGCCAAGAAAAGACCCGGTAACAGTAAGCTAACACTGACCACTCTTCTTTAGCCAGCAAAGGCTTGCTGTGGCTTCCAAAGGTTCGGGCAGCGGGCACGTTGGTACTCACCAGTCAGCAATGCATCCAGTTATTAGGTAGCCAAAGATTAATCCAACCAGTAAGGAGAACTTAGCGATATGGACCTTCCAGGCATTATCACACACAAGATCCCACTAGAGAGGGGCAAATAGAAAATAAATCAGAGAGAAACATACACAGAGGCCAGCTATAGTTAATCACAAGGGCAATACAATCACTACAGCAAGGGGCAAGACCCCATTCGTAGCACCAAGTCACACATACCATGAAAGACCTCCCTTCAGTGGGTTTGAAATTCTACAATGAGAAAAAGAATTTGCCCACAAAAGGCAGTGTAATGTTTTAGTCCAGGACAGATTATAAATGTCCGCAAGCAGCACCCCAGGAAATGTCGGGGTCATGTGTTCTTCTGTCCCAGCGATCAAAGGGACCGTAACCGAGAAGACTGGACGGTCCCTGTGGCCAGCAGCCCTTCTCACCCACAGAACTGTCACTCGCCCAGAGAACAGAAGACCCTGCCAACTTCTGGCACAGGGGATCGTGACACAAGGCAATGAAAAGCAACTTCTGTGTTTCCATCCCCAAGGCCTCCCCCACACTTTGTGAGAAGTCTTAAACACAAAGTTAACAGTTAATGTTGAAATATCATTTGAAAAGCATTCTTTCTCTCTCTCTCTCTCTCGTAAATGTCCCTTCTGTTTCCCCTTATTCCATTCTAAAGCTATCTGCTCCACCTGAAGGGAAAGCCAATCAATTCATGAATACAACATTTAACTTCTTCTTAAATTCAGTTTTATTGTTCAATAAAAAATAAATAAATAAAACAAGTCTCCAAGTTTTTGTTGTCCTTTTGCAGAAGCAGGAGACAAACCCACATTTGTTCCCTGGAAGTGATGTGTGTCCAAGCGGAAGACCTATGAGGACAGGGTGCTCAGATCCCCAAACAGCTTACATCCTGGCTTCAGAAACAAATGGGCAGGGTCTTGGCTGGTGACACTATGAAGCCTGCAGCCCCCCACCCCATATCACCCCACTGAATGTCCTCCTTCTGGTAGAAATAAGTGGCTAAAGAACTTTAGGTCAGTGGAGATGGGAAGATGCACATCGAGGTAGAGGGGATGGAAATGTCAGAAGCAGGATTTGTTGGGGTGAAACCTGATCTTAGCTTTATCTTACTCAAATTGTCCCCCTGGCCCCTTGTCTGTCCATCTTGAGACCCAGAGTATAATGCAGGGTATCCTTCCAGGGCACTGTAAGCTCTGGTCCTGCTCTCCGTTTTCAAACTTCTGGTAAGCACGATGGAGCACCCCCCCGCCCTCGAGCCTTAGCTGTGGGTCTTGACTTCAACACGCTTCTGCACTGGCCACCACAGACGGAAGCGCCTGGCCTAGACAAAGCCAGAAGGCAGCGTCCTGTCACACCATCCCCCGGACTCCTTGGGACACATATTTGCTCACTGATGCACCCAAGGCAAGTTTGACTTTCCAGATTCCAGAGGCCTGGGGAAAGTAACTTACTCCTCTACCCATCTGCTTCCAGAGGGATGTCCAATGCCAGGCTCGGGAAAAGGAAGGCACAGACTGCATGGGACCCTGTCAACAAAGGGTGGTGCGGGCGTGGTTCTCGTCAAGAATGATTCATGTGTTTGGGGAGCAGGCACTGCTGGTTGCACAGAATCGTAAGAATTCAGATACAGGAGTTCTTCAGAGGGTGAGACTTCTCCTATGTCTACTCCAGTGGTCCTCAAAATGCACTCCAGCGGCTGGCAGCCCCGGCATCACGTGGGAACATGCTGGAAATATAAATTCTTGGGCTCCACCCCAGACACGCAGAGTGAGAACTCCAGGGGTAAGGCACAGGAATGCAGTGTGCAAGACTTCCAGGCGATTCTGGGGCCCGCTTCAAGCCTGGGAACCAGTGGCCAGCCCTGTCCTGCCATTTCCCTGTCACTCAGAAGATGATGAATGAGCTCTGCAGTCCTGGGCTGGGGTTCAACCAACTCTCCACGAGCAGGATGCAGCCAAACATGTGCATGAAACATGCACAACGGTGCTGTTGTCTTGAACTGCAAATGCAGGACTGTACGAGCAGACTGTCAGTGGGCGAATCAATAGTCATCTGTATATTGTTTGTAGGAGTAAATATGTTTTTAAGAAAACACCTTTTAGGGTGGTACCCAGCTTGAGAAATGCAGGTCCTGCCTTCTCATGGGAGTTACAGCACCCTAACTAACTGTGTGTGTCTATCCTGTGTCCCCTGCCATTTCTGGATGGACTGTTCTCCTCTCTGCCCAGCACAGGACCCTGCCCACAAAGTAGTCAGTTCCAAGAATAAGAGCCCCATCTCTAAGCACACCTGGATAACCTGAAAAGAGGTGCTTACAACACCAACACCTGGAATCGTGACCACCCCAATCACGTCACGCGGTCCTGCACCCGGCGTGGCACATTCTTGGCAGGAGAGGGACCTGGTCCCCCGGCTGCCACGGAGGCGGCCACCAGCTGCCGGCTTGGGGTGCAGAGGGGACAAAGAACCACTCGCTCACGCCTCCCCCCAGACTTCCCATTGATGAGTTTATCTGAGGGTAAGGGATGCAAAGAGTACATTATGCTTAGATTAGATGGCCTGGAGACAAAAGAGATTTTAGTGAAAGCATTCAGGGACTTGGGGGGAAATGCCGATACTGTTGTGAGCTCAGCCACGTGAGCAATAACCCTACCTGACCTTGGGCAGCCACAGCTCAATTTAGTTGCTACCTAGTAAGACATCTCGTGGTCACTCATCGCACAACTTCTATCAATTAACAATGCTGGAGTGGAACAAAACAAAATAAAACCGAAAAACAGAGGAGACAGACAGAACTGCTCCCACGGCCAGTGGGGAGAGGAAGCTTGGCCCAAAGTGTCCCCTAGCACTGCTGTTCTCAGCCTCGGGGAGGGGGTGGGGAGCACGGGATAGGGCAGCCAGCTGCGGCCTCCACGGCCTCATTCCCGCACAAGAATAGACAACATCTCTTAAGTCAACAAGCAAACTAACTCTAGGCTTCCCATGATAAGCTTCCTCGTGCCTGGGGATCTGTCTGTAACACCATCCTGGAGGCACATTCTAGAAGCGGGGGAGGGGAGGGCTGGCGGAATCCAGTAGGACAGCCTCCCTTTGTTTGACTTCGACCTCCTGGATTGACAAACATGAGCTGGGAAGACAAAATGTGTTCAGACACAGTAATAGCTCCCAAAGAACGTCAGAAGTATGAGGAAGCTTTGAGATCACCCTTGCCCTTAAAATGTGTTCGCACGCTCCTGATAAGATAGGGCCATTGGCCATTTCACTAAGCAGGGACTAAGAGACTTCTAAAAATCTACAATGTCCACTGGGCTTTGTCTCTGGTGTGACACTTGCCTCTCCAGCCTCTGCACACCACCCCATCAACCACCAAATCCAGAGGATTCTTCCTTTCCAACATATCCCGCACCCACCGCCCGCAGTCCAGCTTCACCCCGAGCAGCCTGACTGAGCTGGACAGGGGAGCGAGGGCATTCCCGCAGTGGGAGCTGGAAGGCTAAAAACACCACTTCCGAACTCCCTCCCAGCTACGTTTCGAATGGGGCTTATGTTCAGGCCATCAGCTGCACACCCCAAGGTAACTTCCAGCAGACCGCCTGGATCTAAGTTTGGGGATGACTTGAATTAGGACGACTGAGCAGCAGGGACCACATGGGACATCCACTCTGCTGTTCAGATCTGCCAGGGCTTGGTCTGGAGGGGGCTCGGCCGTCCTCTTGAGCCAGCGGTTGGAGGGCGACCTCCTGACTCCCTGGCCCCCTCACGGTGACCCGATTCCAGAGGCACGCTAGTCCTGGGGAGTCGTTCTAGGACGCCTTCTGGAGACCCAGCCTGCAGCTCCTCCTGCAGTTTAGTGAATACTGTTTCCCTGTATTCCGTCCCAATCTCCTTAAATACCTAGAGTACCTTGTTATCTGCACGTTGAACCCTTGTTCCTGATTCAAATTCCTTGGGATGGAGCTTGTAGGGTGAGAACAGGATGTGGGCCATGCCACCATTCTCTCTTCCTGAACTCATAGGAGCCTCTCCATGTATTAACTCCAGCCTCCCTCAAATCTATTCCCTACAGAACAATGAAAACAATCTCCTAATTAGGCATGTTAACACTTCATCAGCAGGTTTAACACAACCATAAAAGCGTTAAAGTCGTGGCCCCATTTCATAATCTTAGGCTTGCTCTCTTTGCCATCGTCCCAAGACCAGCGACAGTCTTTGGTGATGCCACAGGACACTTGCCAGCCATGAATAAACAGTGAGACAGATGACCCCAAAAAGTGGTTTCAATTTTAGCTGCATGTGTTCCATTTAAAAAAAAAAAAAAAGCAGAGGTTATGGAAAATCTGGAAATCTGGCAGACCATTTTTCTACCTGTATGGTTTAAGGACAAGCTAAAAGAGAAGAAGTAAAATTTACATTATTTTCAAAGGAATGATCTCACTGCTTGAGTTGCCAGAGTAGAAAAATACTCATCAAGGAAACTAATGAAATTTCCAAAGAAGATGCAAAAATAAATGGGACACAAGGAAAATAACCTTATTTTCAACAAGAATAAACTCTATGATAAAGTAAGTATAAAACAAGAACATAAAAATATTGGAAGAAAGCAGATAACTTGTCCAGCTTTGAAGTGGAAATGAAATCCATAAAGATAAAAACTAAGCAGAATTAAAAAAAAAAACCTACCTAAGGAAAAAATTCAGAGATTTTATAATTTATAATTAATTATATATATAATATATATTATTATATAATTATATAATATATAAAATTATTATATAATTATAAATTTATAATTTATAATATAAATTATAAATATAAATTATATTTATATATTTATATATATTATAAATTTATTATAAAATTATAAATTTATTATATATAATAATATATATTTTATAATCTAGTAGAAGTTTAACTCTTACTACTTAATTACTATTCATTTAAATTATTTAAGTTACACAAATTACTGCTTAAATGATTTATTTAACTTACTAATTGAAACTTCCCACCTTAGGGGTGCCTGGGTGGCTCAGTCAGTTAAGTGTCTGACTCTGGATTTCTGGTCAGGTCA